ACAATTAAGATTATATCACCACAATTAGTTTTAGATTTCTACCTCAAAAGAAAGAAACTAAATTGTAATCCTGGGTGGTTCACTCCCTTGTACACAAACATAGCCCTAATTCTCTCTTCTTAAACCTCTGAATTCATGACAATTGATCCAAATTGTTGGTTTTCAGAAATCTCTTGATATTTCTAAAACTCATCTCCACTATTCCACACCTCTGTTGCTCCTCTTTCTCCCTCCCCTCCCCCATTAATTCACAGACTACCACTGGAAATCCTCTATTTAGAGACATTTGAGATGGTTTTGAGGAATAAAGAAAGCAATGGGTTAAAATTAGGTGTTTGGGGGTTACGACCACTATCAGCAACTAATTTTGAACAGCTATAAGATTGTATTTTTCTTAATATGTAAAAATTTTTTAAAAATCATCATCACAAGTCACACTCTAATCCAGTTTAGCATGGAAATGATCACACACAATTCAAAGGGAACACTCAATGAATCTTTTCTTTTTTAAAATGGGAGCTCTCCATAGGAATATTTTTATTTACTTGAAAAATACAAAACCCAAGTACAATATGCCAGAAGAAAATGAGAGCAGTTGGCTTTCTGAAGCTACAGAAATAAGGAGGGCATGGGCTTTTAAACCCCTTCTGTAAAGGTCAATAAGTAATTGTTTTTTTTTTTTCAGTTATAGCTTAATTCAACAAAATATTTCTTGAAAGCTCTTTATGCCATAGGATTCACCAATATATATTTTCCATGACTCAGAAATAATGGAAGCAAGTGCCCATTAATTTAGCAAATACCTGTAAATACTACATTACACAATTACTCTTGATGAAAATGTTACCAGGATGTCCTCAGAAGGGTAAACGTTATATTTGGCACAAACCTATTTTGCCTATTTAATTTGTTCACATAAATGTAGTACATAATGAGACCTCACTGCTAATTAAAATTAGGTATAATCCTTAAAGTAAAAATATGTTTTAATACCTATGCCCTAGACCTATTCTAAACTTAATGTAAATTAAGATTTCCTAACATAACTAGGCTATTTCAATCATCTGCAGGCCAGGGTAGATTAAGACTTATATAACTAACCAATTAATGCAGATGCTCAGTCTTTCACATTAGGCACAAACTAAAATAAACTCTTTTGATCCAGTCTCTCCTTTACTAGCATCTCGAAAGGTCCCTAAAGTGATCTCTACCCACATACTAATTTCACTATTAATACAATTTGCATTTAACCTATATTTTATGCAAGGTATACTTCAGAAAAAGTCTTTCATAAAATGTGTAAGCATTCAATAAAATATTGAAAGTGGTCAAACTAAAATATCTAAAACACAGACAAAACCAAGACAGCATTATGAATATAAATCGTTACCAATTATAAAAATATAAGGGGAATAGCCAAAGAAACATCGTAAGAAGTAAATTCAATAAAATCTGACCACATGCTAGTCACACATTTCTGTATTAGTCATTCCACACTAAATTGACACACCTGAATACACAGTATGTTTTAAAAGTTTCTTTCTTTTACTAATCATATAGCCATAACAAGGTATAGAATTTAAAAGAGTTTTATCATAAAGCTTAAAATAAGTAAATAAATATATGCCCCGAAGAAAATCTCCTTTAACATTAAAAATCAGTTGTGTGAATGAAAATCAGAAATATTAAGCTTAAAAGACACTGAAACATCCATTGTCAGAACCTTTGGAAAGAAAGGAAAAAGAAAAGGTAGGAAGTAAAGAAAGTATCCATTAAAAAGGGGGAAGGGTAAATCATCGTCAAAACAAAATCTCTTCTTTATGTTTCCTTTTTCTGAGGAAACATTCAACATGATGTTAATGAGAAAAATAAGAAAGGGGCAGAATTTGCCTCACTCTGTGTTTGTGTAGGTCTTCAATTTCATTACTTTATAAAATTAGACACAGATGTGATTAATGAAAGACGTTAAAACCTACATAAATTTTAGTAGCTTCACTAAGTGCCAATTGTCAGAGCCCTAGACTCCACCTAAGACTGAATTTACAAGTTCAGATTCATCCTGCATCACTTTCTCTCCAGTAATCCCACGCTTCAGGAAACAGACAACTTTTTAATGCCAAAATTTCAACATAATCTCAATAAAAGCTCTAATTCCACCTAAAACCATTTCCTTTTCTCTACTTTTCAGCGTTTCACCATTAATGCTGAAGTAAAACAATGTTGAAGATCAAATTATGCAGAAATATGCCTTCATCAACGTTATAAGTTTATGCGAAACCTACTGAATGTTAGTATTTAAAAAAGCATAAAGTTAGAATGGCTAGTTCATTTTACTTAAAGAATGGATTTCTTTAAGTAAGGTTTCTCTTGTTTTCCTGTCAGTGAACTTAAACCTTAAAAAGAAAATGCTTTATTGTGCTCAATCATGATATTCACTAATTTTACAATTTAATGTGATAACTCAAGGTTGTGGTGCATTGACACGTCTGAAGGAACTGCCTCCCTCCATACCCAGAGAATAAGGTGCTTTTTTTATTAAAAAACATTCCGATAAAAAGCAATTCTAACGTTGCATTTTAAGAAGTCAAATTACAATTTATGCTATTTTTTAATTTAAAAGGAATTCAACTGAAGTTATTAGTGGCATTTAATATTTTTCTATCTAAAGTCATAAAGTCAGTATTCAATCAAGTTGTGGTCTCAACGTGTTAATTTATTTGCTGATCACTCAGGGTCATTGATCATAGCTTCTATTTGGCTAGAATCATATAACATATAGAGAAGAGAAAGCAACCAGTTTTAGTTATATCAAGGCTGTTGTTTGGAAACAATAGACTAATTCAGTGATGGTTTAAAAAGAAACATTGTTTCAATTTATTTGGATGAAGCTTTGTTCTGGGTAATCGCAGTTCCCAGTGCTAAGTTAATGGCTTAAGGTATAAAATTTTCAAACATTAACAAATGATCCTGTGTAAGGTATTACACCTTTTTGTTAGTACAGAGACTACTGATTATAATTCCAAATCACACATTGGCATAAAAATAATAATTTCATTGGATATTAAAGAACTTCTAAAGAGCTACGTCATCGCCCCGCCTACCTCCATAAGGTTGTTATGAGGCTCAAACTAAAAATATGTGAAGACATGTCATGTAATAAAATACCATGAAAGTTAAAGTATTAAAGTTATCTTTAATGATTTAAGGGTAACTATGTTCATCTATGACATACTCCATATCCCAGATTTTACAGGGCTTAACGAAAGTTCATAGTGAATGGAAAATAAGTTTTGTTCCATGCCATTTTTTTTATAGTAAGGAAAATGAAAACAATACCATGATGACTATCAGGACAAAATGCATTAATAATCCCCAAGAGTTTCCTAAAATGTATTATCTTTCTTTGTACAATTACATGTTTTATAAATCAATTTAATAGTTTCCTACAGATAGCTTAATCAAATCAACCGTACTCAACTCTTTTAAGAAAACCAAGCACATGAATTCCATTGCCAAAAATTTAAAACACAGCCTGTCTTTTAACATTGAAAACACAACAGCTTATGCAATAAGAAACATCTCAAGTCTCCTTATTGAAAACATTTTAACCCTTCAGTTCAGAAAGACAATAATAAAATATTGTATTCTTCTAAATAATTATTATTTAAATAATAGATTAGTAGGAAGTTTGCATTAAGACACATAATAACCAAGTTGTTTTTTCTTTCGATAGCAACTAAGCCTTTTAGAAGGATAGAACATAGCCTAAATTTGCGTCTAAATTTTTTCCCTAACAAGAAAAGCTTCCTACGTAAACAAGAAAGAAAAGAAACACCTCAGTATTAAGATACCTTTCATAGTAGAAAGTATTTTAAAGAGAGTTAAATCTCAATGGCTAGTTAATGGGAATGACAAATATCACTAATATTTAAGAAAAAACTTGAAATGGTTACATACAAATAAATCACTGTGATTTTTTTTCAAAAAAAAAAAACCACTCTAATTAATCTCTTGTCTTTCACTGCAATCCACATTTTTATATTTTCCTTCACACCTAAAAAGGACATATAGTCTAGCACTTTTCTGAATTGGTGATGGGAGTATAGGGTAGAGAACTTAACCTCGGCCAGCACAGATATCTAAATTCAGAATTTTTTCTGATAATTCTATTTTAACAGAACTTTATGGTATCAGACAGAAATGTCAGTATACTTATGAGTAAAAATTAGACAGAAACCAAACAACTGAGAATTGAATATTAACAATTTTGGCCATCAGTTATCTATTTTAGAACTTGCAGGAGCATTTGAAAGTAAAATTTTGTTTTGCACCATGTTGCCATTAATTCCTTTCTTAAAGACAATGATCAGCAGACAACTTGTTTACCTTAGGTTGGGAACCCTGTGAGCAAAACCTATGTCTAATACTACAGGTCTGGTACGCTGTTCACTGCATTGCTTTAGCAATCTCAAAAGGCAAATTCTTCAACAGAAGGTTCAGTTTGAAGAATAGGGCTCATTGTTAGAACTTCTAATTTTTAACCCTTTACTCTCAAGCTAACACTTCACAGATGTACCTATACATCAGCACAACTTTTGATTATGTAATTAAGGGTATTTTTTATTATAACGTAAGAGCACATTCTAAAACAGCTAAATGAACATACACAAAAATATATCATCAGACGTTATACTCTCTTGAATTTATATAATTTTTACTTAAGATATGTTAGCGAGTAATACTATTTTAAAGTTTTTAAATGAAATCTTCACCACTGGTCAATGAGATACCGAATATCACTAGTTATGGGAAAAACTTCAAGTGGTTACATGTAGATAAATTACTTAAGTTGTCTACAGTGCCTACTTTCAAAAACCGCTTAAACTTATTCATATGAAAAAGCACATGAATCTTTGCAGAACACATGCAAACAAATGTTTAAATCTATTAACCCATCTTAGATGTACCATTCTTAAGAAATAGAAAGGCATTGATCTTACCTTGAGTAGCCATTAGAAAAAACCGATCGACCAGGGAAGTTCAAAGTCCCCAAGGAAGTCAAGTTGTCATCTCCAGATCCTTGGCACCTATTCCAATTTTCTGAACCAACAGGAATTGGTGGAATGACATTAAAAATAGGCTTCTGATCCTGCTGTTGAGAAAGGGATGCTGTATTCATGTCATAGTGGTACATCTGTCCTCCAGAGGTACTCACGCCATGAACAGAAATGGCAGACATTTTGCCAATGTTTGCTCCAGAAAAGTTGGCCTGACAGTAAACTGGGCCTAGTTTCTCTTGCTTAATTACCCCAGGGGTGCAGAGTTCGATGAAATCTTCTTTTTCTGTTTTCACTTGGGGCAGTGGTACACTGCTGGGGCTTGATAAGATCAGATCTCCATTATCCTTAACTTTAGGTTTAGTGTCCGGTAAAATGAGAGGCTTACAGTCCTCATTCGAGTTTCCTTCCAAAAGGAATGGATCATCCTCTCCTTCCAAAGGAGAAAGCAAACAGTTTTCATCCATTAACAGTTCTGATCTCCATGGACTCTCACTCGTCTCTTTACCTGGGGACCCAGAGGAAAACTCCAAATCCTGCAAAATGTCCAAGGTGCTTTGGTCTGTGGTATATAACTTCACATTGCCACCATTGGTACCAGTCTGGCCCTTCAAATTTTGCTGTTCTGAAGATGAATCAGAGAGAGTTTTTGGAAACTCCTTCTCTGTGGGGACAGCAGAAGCAGCAGCAGATGCTGAACTCTTAGGGTTCTCTGGAACACTGGTCGACCTATTGAGGTTTGCAATGCTTTCTTCCAGAAGCCGAAAGTCTGTTTCCCCAGAGGAAAGGCTGATTTGGCCCTGCTGTGGGAATCCCAGGTCATTTCCCATCACTTTTGTTTCTGGCTCTCCCATGTACAGTCCCATTGAGAGTGAAACTGCTTTGGACAGATCTGGCTGCTGCACATTGCTTACTGAGCCTTTTGGAAAATCAACCAAAAGTCTTTGCTGCTTGGAGTCAGACTGAGAAGCAACAGCCAGTGACGGTGAAGATGCAGAAACCTTCGCAGTAGCTCCTCCCCTTAGGGTTTTATAGATATCCATCACACTTCCCCTCTCCTGACTAAGCACACTGCTGGGGATTTCTTCTCTACTGGGAGGAGTTAATGATTCTTTGGAGTCCATAAGTTAATATCAGCTACAAAAAAAAAAAAAAGGAGGAAAAACATAATAAGCTCTAAAGTCACATTATCTCTGTGATCCGATTAGTAAGCCTGTTAGATGAACCTTTTAGTTAACTCCGAATCAAATTCTTTGTTATCGGAAGAGTAGTTTCTATCTTCCAGAATAAAAAGCCATGTCCCCTGCTCCCATTCAGTGTGCCACATTTAAAAGTACAATGCAGTCCATTTGCACAGCTGAGGACAAAACTGTTCCCAACTAAGCATGGCTATTCATCCTGCCACTCACTGAACGTGTAGCTTTGTTAATCACAGACATTATAATTCATTACATCTGATTATTCTGAAGGTTCAAGTTGATATCAAAGTATTTAATTTTTTAAAAAGTGTTGATCATTAAAATTCCTACCTTTTTTCAATTGAGACTGTTTGCTAAGAACCAATACATTTAACATTTGATAAATACTATACTACAATTTTCAATCCCCAATTATTCCCAAATTCCCCCCCACCACCTAGTCACGCATCCAACCCTTTAAAATACAACCTACTGGTAAACCATGCACATTTTATTTGAAAAATAAACAATGCTGATCTCCTTATCTTCTAATAGGCTGGGAAAAGGCTCTTATTTTAACCGATATTTCTGACTTGGATATGCCTAGTAGTGCCTACCTCCAAATTTTGGATATATGATACATTGCATACAGGACAACCAAAATTTAGATTTAAAAAAGTAAGACAGACTGTGCAGTAACTTCTCACTACAATTTTAGCTTATTTGAATATACCTTAAATATCGCTGTCTGATCCTTATAACTCACAATAACATCTAGATTAAGACGCATTTATTTAAATTGCTTGAGACCCTCAATATAAAATACTGTTATATACTTCTAAGTTAGGATCTTTCCTTTCCAAATACCTCAGTACTGAAAAAGAAAAACCCAGAACTGTAAAATCACATTCACACGAATCAAAGTAAAACAGTATCAAGCAAAATGCTCAGAATAATTTTCTCCGCATTCTAAACCTTCACCTAGCCCAATTCTGAGCCTATTCTCAAGAGGATGATTAGGTTGCTAGTATATTGTTAATAATCAGGATGTTTTAAGAGAAGGGCAAAGATTTTGATAGGCACATTTGGGACATTATAGTCAAATCCCAACCAATAAAAGGAAACTTTTCCTATACGATGACGCTAAGAAACATAAATGTCACTGGCCCTCACTGCAAGGGGAATATAATGAAGGTGGAAAGAGGGGTGGGGATCTGTCACTACAAATCTCGAGGGTTAAACTGCTTATCTGCCCACTCTTCGCCGTGTGTATCTGATAGCGATCTCTAAACGCAAGGTATCGAATAGAGACTAATGAATTTCCACGCCGCTTTTTTGACAGCTGCCTTCAAACCCGAAACCAAAACAATACTTCCTAAAACGAAACGCTCCCTCAAGCTACATTATCCCCCCCGTTTAGCAAATAACTCTGCCACACTCAGGGGCATGAAGCACGCCAGGGGGTCTTAAGTAGTATTACAGGAATGCGACTATCAAGTCTGCAACCCCAAACATCAGCGCTAGTTAAAAATCGCAGCACAAAACTATTACGGTTAGGGAGGGTCTTTTTCTGAAAAGCGCCACTTAGAAACGTCAGGCTCGAAATGATGTCAAACGCTAAAGAACAAGCCCTTGGGGGGTTGCTGGGGGCGGAAGGGGGGTGTGGGAGAAAAAAAAAGTGCGAGGTTAGGAGAGAAATGTGTCCAGACCTGTTGAGTTCTCCCTCCGACACGCCCACTTCTACCAGATAACGCCAGCCCGGCCGAAGTCTCCGAGTTGCAGGCTGTCAGCCCTGCGTCCGCACTCTCTCTCTCGCCCCGCACGCCCGCCACGAACGAGGCGCGCGGGAGCCTCGACAGCAGCCCTGACCGCGCTCAGGCGCGCTGGGGTGGAGTGCAAATATTTGGGCGAGTAGAATTCAGACGCGGCTTAGCGTTCACCATCAAAAGGGGTGTCGGGACGGCCCCCTTGGAGGGAAGAGAAAGGGGGACTTGGGGGGAAACCAGACCCGGGTTCCCTCCGGGGAACGAGAGGCTTGAAAGCCCCGGCAGCACGAGGCTCCCCTGGCAGTCCGAGCTCAGGTTCCTACCCCTGGGCTCGGCCGGGCGACGGCGGCGGAGGGAGAGGAAGAGGCCAGCGCTGTCACCCGCGCGCTGCCCTTTCGTCACCATCACCCGGCCCTCGCCAGCCCCCAACCCCCACTCCCCGAGGCTAATAAAAGTTTGCAGGCTCCCACAGCGGCCCCCGACTCGGCCTCCCGTACTCGCGGCACCTCGGCGAAGCGAGCCCCCACCCCTCCCCGCCTCTTACCTCGGGCAGCGGCGCCGCTCACCCGCCACCGTCCGCAGCTCCCGCCGCAGCCGAGATAAACAACTTAGCGTGTGAAAGCAGGAGGAGCAGGAGGGAAATATTTTTTTCTAAAAAAAGGAAGTAAACAGCCGCCCCCTTCTCCATGGGGGGAGGGGAGAGCCCCTATTTAAGAAAGTCTCCCATTTCCCAACTGACAAGCCAGCCCTCCGCCCCGCTCCGTGCTCGTCTCCGCAGGTCCGGGCTCCGAGGCGCGCGTCCCCTGTCCCGGCGCCCCGCTGCTTCGGCCGCTCCGGCTGCCGCGTCTCCTTCCACCCACTGAGTCCGTCCCCGACGGGCGGGCGGTGACTCGACTCGGGCTCCAGTCACAGACACGAGCTCGCAAAATGGAGGAGGCGGCGGCGGAGGGGAGGGAGCACGGACACGGGAAAGGGCCGCCCGGCCTGGGCGAGCAAGCGGGACCGAGCGGGGGGCGGGTGGAGGCGGCGCCACGGCGCGCACACACTCGCACACACGCGCTCCCACTCCACCCCCGGCCGCTCCCCGCCCGAGGGGCCGCGCAGCGGCCGCGGGGAACGGTGCAACCTGTTGGCGACGCTTGGCAACTGCAGGGGCGCCCGCAGCCCCCGCCCTCACGCCCTCCGCGCGGGCCCGCCAGCCGGGTCCCGACGGCGCCTGCACGCCCGCCGCCCTAGGCATTGCCGCCCGCAAGGAGCGCGGGGCTTCTCCTCGGCCCCCACCCCAGGAAAAAGAAAGTGAGGCGGGGGCCGACCTGGTCTCTTTGGGGCGGTTTGAAGAGGGAAACCGAGTTTCTCTAGTTTCTCTTCTGGCAGCCTCCTTCCCGCCCCCGCCCAGCTCCTCGGCTCGGTCCCACTTTGGAGCTCGCCCTCTCCCTCGGCTGCAAGCTCCGGGTGACAGCGGGCGGGCAGGAGAGCCGGGGCGCGGCCCGCAGCAGAGCTGTGGGGTGGTCCGCGCCGCCGCCCCGGGGCCGAGTTGCGCGAAGTATGTCACTTCGAAAGGGGCTACAGGGTTGCACGGAAACGGTGCCGCAGCGTCTCAGCAGCGCTCGGGGCTGGTCAGCCAGACACGCCCTCCGGGGAGGCTTAAAGGAGGAGAGGGTAGAGGAGGGGGTCAGCGCATACGTACTCTGGGCCCGGGGGGAGTCGCGTGCTGGCGGGCCCCCCACCCCCGCATCGTCTGGGCTGCCCGGTCTGCAACCGCCGCCGCCGCGCTCTTGAACCCGGAGAGAAGTTGCAAAGCAGAACCCACCCTCCCCCGCGCCCCGACCGTCCCCCACCCTCTTCCCCGAGTCTGCGAGGCGGCGGCGGCAGGAGGCGCCGCCTGCCAAGTTCAACCCCCACCCCTCCTTCACTCCCTCCCAGCGCGCTCACACTCGAAGGAAGTTGCACGCCAAATGCAAAACCTCCGGCGAGCTGGATTTCTTTGCACTTCTTTATTCTGATTAAGAAAGCAGGGGGTGCCAGGCCTAAAAGCAAGTTGCAAGAGAAATAGTAAGTTGCTGGCGAAGTGTGTCCTCCCCCAGTACCAAACCCCTGACCTCTCCTTCCACCCCCTCCGGGGCCCTAGTCCAAGTTCCCCGTGAGGCCCCTTCCCCAATCTTGACATATGCTGCCCTGGACTCAAAGCGTCGCTCACCCTATCGCGTTCGTCGGACCCCTGCCCCCACCACCACCAAATAAAGCAAAACGCACGCAGCTGTAAAATGTCAGCGTTAAACTCCCTCCAGCTGTTTCTGTTTCGCGCCTCCCCCTCAGTCCGAGGGAAACACGTGGCCTGTCCCAACAGAGAGGAGAGGGGAGTGGGGCGAGGGGTGACCGCGCGGGATGCCCCCGTCCCAGCCCCCTTCCCCAGCTCGCCGCGTCCGGAAGGCTTGGGCGATCCCGGGACCGAGCCTCCTACCTTGTGTGGCACATATTATGATTTTTGTGACTCGGGGAAAGGTTGTGCCGTGCTGCTTTAGGGTTTGGGGAGGTAACTTTTGCGCCCCCACAGGTGACAGCGCTAGCCAGCTCCTGACAGAGGCGGGGGGCTGCCGCAGCTCCACCTCGTCCCTGCCCCGGGGCTCGGCGGCAGCCACTCTCTCTCCTCGCGCCGCGCTCCGACTCTGACGGTGGCCGTCTCCACTCTGACATCTTGAAGGGGATTGGGGAAGCGCGTGCCGGAAGCCGCCCGCCGCCATCTTGGTAGAGGAGGGTGACGCCAGTCCAGCTTCGCGGCCACCATCTTGGCTAACGTTCTCGATCGCTGGGTGTCCTAAATTGGCAGTACTCGGGTCTGAATGGTAACCGCTGCCCTAGAAAAGAACTGGGCTTTTTTAGCAACCCTCTTGTCCGGAGACGATCTACGGGGGCCGCCTCCAGAGGATTAGGGAGCCTCCATCTTGGCAAAGGGAGAGGGGCTCGCCGTCTCAGAAAGGAAAAGGGAACCAAAGCCTAAGCCGACGTAGAAACATCGGCCAGAATAATTTTTATGAAGGATTCAGAGCACCTACATGTTGACAAAACCCCCATCTGTATCCAGAAGAGAGACTCCTGTTCTGTCCCTTGGCGCAAGTCAACCAGAAGGAGGCCCTAGCTTTGGATGCTCATAGTGGATGCCATGAGACTCTGGGGACGCTACTTTGCCTTCTTACAAAGTTTTTCCAATTTCTGAGTCCCAGGCAGCACAATCAGACGTGTCTCATGGATTCGGTCCCTAAACTACCAGCAGTTTCATGGGAAAAATTCAAGACCCAACCCTACAATAATTTGTTATACGTTTTAGAAGTGCGTTAGATAATCATGCTAATAACGATTATCCTTGTATGTCTGCTTGAAAGTGTAAGAACCGGTCTCCCTCGGCCCCAGGAACAGAGAAGC